TTAGTTCCATAGCCGACGTTTCATGCAGTACAAATAAGACTGTGTCCCTGGTAAATGTTTACCACTGAACGCTTGATCATTCCAAAAAGTGAAAAAAGTTTTAAGAAAGCGACGGGAACGACAAGAAATCTTCTGGGCTGTAGCTGTTACACGACTGCACTACGGAAAAACCTCTCAACGACAAAAAAGAGTGAAGAATTAGCGATATCAAATTTAAAACAAACCTTGTAACTGGGTATGGTATAAGAACGCCTAGCAAACCAAAGTGAGGTACGCCATCAGGTATAAATCTCCCGCGCGATCATGAAAATTAGGCGTCATGTAAGCGTCAAGCGTCAATGAACTGTCTCACTCATCTCAGAGAGCGATTTATGTCGTAGTTGGTCTCTTTTCTTAGTTTTTAAATCAAACACAAGTATAAAAATTATGAAATAAAATGAAGAAAACAAAGCCGTGCAGTAGCAAGGAACATAATGGCGAGGTAAGAGGCAGCATTCTGCGGAAAGCTTATCAAGTGCGGAAGACTGCAAATTTCATTTTTTTTTTCTCCATAGCTTTGGTAAGGAAAACGTAAAGAAAACAGAAAAAGGTAAATGTGTTTTGCTGTTGCATGTCTTGAAGATTCATAGACAGGTAAATGATACATAAGTGCTTGCTTTATTTATCTCCGGTTTGATGGTGATGATGGAATCTTATTTTTCTTCGAAGAATAATGGAATTTCTTTCAAAGTATCCAAAAATAAAAATTCGGATCAACAAACCGTGGCGTTTATCAAGTTAGTAATCTTGTCTTACAGTGATGTCCTACTTTCTAATTTTCTTCCGCGGCTCGTCACGATTACTCATTCTCAGTCACGAACTATAGTTCTACAAAGACATCAAGAATCATTTAACAGATTTTTTTCAAAAGTAAGGTAACTGCAATGAATGGATCTCCTTCGTGATTGGGCAATCGAAGGGTACAAATGTCATCTTGTTGATAGTTCCGTCAATCAGGTCAAGTCGAATTACTGTAAAACTGATACGTGATCACAGTAAACACAGGTTTTCAAAGTTGCAAAATGTTGGCTAAACTTGGATCAGACGCCCTTCCCTGTCAAAATGCCGAATTTAAGATTCCATCTATCTACCCCGTTGAATTATTCTTCGTAGCAAGAAACGTGTTATTCAATTTTTGAAACACGCGACTTGAAAACATTCCCATTGTAACATTATGCATTATGTGACTGCTTTAACAAACTAGTTATTTAAGAGTCTCTTAGTCTCAATCGTAAGAGAGCGAAATTGGAATATCATATGTGACTAGATTCCGTAAATAGACTAAGTAAAACGGATTAATGAAATATTTTCATTTTCAAACAGAATTCACTCTAGCATCTTTCAGGTGTTTGAAATCTTCCATAGATAGATTAAAATTTTTTCTTCTTCTGTGGCTAGATTTACTGCAAAAAGAAAAACTAATCTCCATTGTTTTATTCCGCGCGTAAAAATCGGAACTGAACATGACCCTTTTGGCCTATAAAACATTTCTCTCTCTGGTGGGGCCTGAATGTCACGCAGCCAGTTGCGTGACGATCCCAAAGTAAATCTTCTATTTGGACAAGAATAAATTAGAGTGGCTAATTTCTAACATCACTGTGAAAAAGGAAAGTTCAGTTTTTCAGTTTCTTAAAGAAATATCTTCTAGCCAATTTAGAATAACTCTAAAAGCCTATTTTGGACAAATTTTTTTTAGATTCTTAACTTGCGTGACTTGTTTTCTCTTGTTATTTGAAAAACACTCTTCTCCTTGAAACAGAATCTCGAGCATTTCCAACTATATACTCAATTGGCAGCCATAGAAACTACTCTTACTCGAGAAAAGCTCAGCTTATTTCGAAATCCGTGCGAGTCACCCAAGTATTTGACGCTTTCATTTTCTAAGAAGACCGCGTGACTCTGGGGACTTCCTGCTGTCAATTTAACATCTGACTTCCTCAACTTTCTGTATAAAGAGATCGTCGATTCTAAAGCTTTCCATTCCATTTGCAATAAGCAAAAATCAATATCAAGAGAAACTAGGGACTACAGATCAAGCTTGGAGAAAAACCCGTCACAAGGCAAATATGGTCGAGGTACGGTAAACTTCCTATACATTTAATTTTCAATCGTGGATTCCATGCAGTTAAATTTTCAATTAATGAGTTTAGCCCGCGCCATTCATTTCTAGTCGCCTGGTGCTATGTTCGATTTAGATCCTAAAAGATGTTTTGGTTTTTTTTCTAACTTTCCCGGACAGTCAATTGAAATCAGCGCGTGCGCTCGAATGGACATCCCCGAGCACAGACTTAGCAGAAGCGGAAACCTCTGTATGGCAGATTTGCCGAAGAGTGAACCTGGTCTTCAAATTCCTGTAGAGTTTACCGGGAGCCATCGGAGCTACAAAACAGGTAAATTTAGGCGTATGGTAGGCTGTGATCCTCACAAAGCTGTTATGAAGCTTTTCTGCATGTTAAAAGTGGCATAGTCCAAAATGATCGCGCATAATGTAACTGACTCGATGCCGATTTAAGTGCAAGTGGACCTTAATGTGTTTACAGATTGACTTTATTGTAAATGTAATCTACATGTAAAGACACCTAGGAACTTTTTCTCTCATTTTCAATTTTGACGGCGAGTTAATTGCAAAACTACTTTAAGTGACGCCCAAATATCGGTGAACATTCACAAGGCCTTGTTAATCTAGTCATACTAGCAACTTTTCTGTTAAAATTACTCCATATAGTAATACAGAACTTTTCTGCTTTTGCAATTAACGACTACGTAAAATTCGATAACTAGTTTTCATGAAGTGTTTTTGTCAGAGAACAGGAAAAAAACTTTGGGCTTGTAGGTTCCCTGTGTTTTAAACCCAGCTTCAAAACACTATTCAGCATGCCACTAGACTGATCACATGACTAAAATAATCTTCAGTATGGTTCAGAGGTAAATTAAATATACATTAAAAAAGTTCAGTTTACCTCAAATAATAAATTAGACTTTTTTAATTTCATGTTTCTAGTCTTTTACATAGAAAAGTCTTATAATTATGGGGCACATACCATAAGATATGACTTGGATGGCAGCCATTACTACCTGTGTGTAGAAGGAAACAAGGTGTTTTTACAGGTGAGTTGTGATTTACTGTGGTTATGAAATTATCACTTTTCAACTGCAACTTCCCATAAACAAATTACTTACGTAACAATTTAACACAACGGGTGGGCCAAAAGTAACTATTTGAATCTCTTTCTTGTTGTATTTTCAGTTGGGTGCCCATCAGCCTGATGAAATGAAATACATCTTTGAACTTCAACATGTCAACAAAGATAGTGATTTCATGTCTATTAAGTCTAAATACACTGGGAGGTACCTTGCCAGTGATGAAGATGGCAAGGCATTTGTGGAGGAAGTGGTGCCTTCCTTAATGAAAGACGACCAGCCCACTGACAGACAAACATGGTTCCTTCTACACTTTGTGGAAACGGTGAAAAGAGAAAGAGAAAGTACATTATACAGTTGTAACTTTGAGAGCACAAGTATTGACTATTCTGTCACATGTCAGGCTCAAGTGGAAGCCTGTTAGGTGTAAATATGTTTCAATGTAAAAATACATGTACAGGAACAGAGTAGGAGAATTTTAAAATGTTTTTTCTTTTCATCCTGGGAAGGTTTGTTCCATGTTTTATTTTTATTTATTTATTTATTTTTTATGGAGTTTGGATTTATTTCTTGCACATTGTATATCCAGTTCTTTCCGGCTTAATAGTTTTTATTCGTTTCTGATGGTTCGAAATGTAGGTGAGAAGGAAGCAAGTAATCCATGTTTGTTAACTGGTGAAAGAGACTGGAATAGATTCAATTTTTTTTTTTTGCAAAATATAAGATACTTTATGGAACTGTATTTGACTTTAATATGTTGTTGTAATAACATGACCTCAAGTAAGGAAATATTACTTATAATGTTCTAGGTAATGTAAGTTGTAACTGGTACTATAACCAGAATATGTGCTTTACTCTATGAGTACCAGTATATTTCTAATAAAAGCAATACTAGCGGAGACTTCAGTTGTTGTTGCTATTGATTTAAGACAATAGTAATGTACCTCGAGGAGAGAAAAAAAAAACGAAACTCACTCATTCAAATTAATTCAATCACACCTTTTTTTAAACTACAGCATAAATATATGCCTAAAAGTGCAGTATGTTCATGCAGTTATTATAGAACCAAAACTAGAGCAATCATCATCCATCTGCAGTTTAGAGCACAGACAAATATTGAAAGGATTGAGTTGTTGACAACTCAAAGCAACTAATTGTAACTGACTGCAAGTGAGGGAAACTCATTTAGTGTCCAAGTGGACTGAATGACTAGCCTCTCTAGGAAGCCATTAAACACTGCTCCATAGGAATGAAGCTTCACAAACTATTGTAATGGAAATGGAACCTAAACTTTGCTTAAAACCAAATGAAAACTAAAAATAAAAACTTCAAAGAGATTTTAGACAGCTGGACCTGATGGAGGGTACATGAGTCACCAGGTTTTCGTTCCAAAGTAATGAAAGAAAAACAGAAGATAGATATGAAGAATTGTTTGAAAGCTACCTTTACAATCAAACTCAACTTCTTATTACTTTTATAAATTTTGGTTTCATTAATTAAGTTCGCAATGTAAATTTGCCACTTTAAAGAGTTTTGGTGCTGACATGTGGAGGGTTAACACTGACAAAGCATGAGCTTCAAACACTAGCTCTGACAAAGGGCTAATGCTCAGAATGACAGCTTTGAAACTCTTTATGGCTATACTCCCTCACCTGTACAACACCACAGTTTCTTTAGAAACTTACCCCTTCATTCTTCTTAGTTTGACTTGCAATTATCCACAGTTTGGGCAGCCCTTAAATGAACAGTATTGCATTACACACTACCATGTAACTTACTCTGTTATTATTGAATTTGGATCCATTCTGATAGTGGATACAATGCCTGGATTATTTTGTTGCAAGCCTGGGTGCTTGACAAGAAGAAAGAATAAGATATCTAGAGAGTAAAAGTAAATGAAATGGCATTCAAGTCCTCGAGAAAGAAGCAGGAAACAATGAAATGGTGAAAAGAAGTCTTTATCATACATTACTTGTGCCCTAATTTCCTAAGTTGGTACTATAAGTTGACTACCATAAAGAGTTTTTAAAACTGAACTTTCGAGCGTTAGCCCCTTATCTGGCCGTTTTGTAATTGCGCCCTAGGCATTTGTTTACAAGCCGACGAAAGACCACGATAAATCAGGTCCAAGTTGATCGATTGAATGCACACATTTGAGTACTTTATGAGAGGCGCAACTTCTTCCTCTTCGTAACGGGGACACCAAGACCACAATAACCAGTGAACAAAAACGCAAAAATTTACAAATCTCTTACAAAGCCCCCTAGTAGTACATCCGGGTGTTGCACCATGGACGGCGCCATGTTTGAAGCATCTTCCGCTCCATAAAGATATTTACTTTCCATGTAACACAAAATGAATTGTCCCGCTCTTCTTCAACTTAATTTTTCGCCAATCCATTGGATAAATCGCTATCCAGTGAACAGTGCAGTACATTTTCTAAACAGTTATCCGCTGGATGGCAAATTATCCGTCGGATAGTGTTATCCGCTTTTCTACAACTGGGCTCTGTTGTTTTATTTTAGTAGTTTGTTTTGGCCCCTTTCTTACACAGACAGCTTGTTAATCATTCATCAAGAAAAACCTCCCCAAATACAAGCATCAGCCTAAATTCATAAATTTTAATTGGTTATTTATTTATTGATTCTTCCTACAACCTGCATAATGTAGATGCAAAAGTTATGAAACTGTAACAGTGGACCCGGAAACACTAAACAGTAGCCACGTTGAGGTTAAGCTGAATAGCGCCGACCACATCACGAGATTTATACCTTTACTAGAACAAACTTCCGCTCATTGAAAATTTTAAACTTTTGCCTGAAATGTGCTCAAACCTGAATAACTTGCAGATAACTACATGGTTGAGGGTATAATAATGTTAGTTCCAAAATATACAAAGATGTGACGATTTTCAGTTCATGTGACAAATTTCAATTTAATTTTGGAATAATTACAGTGCATTTGCACAACGCGATAAATCACTCTTTTAAAAAGTGTATTAAATCATAATCTTTTGAAACCAATTCTGGTTTCTGAAAAATGGTAAAAGTTGTAAGGTGTCAATAGGAACTCAAAGTAAAGACATATCACTGGCCTCAAGTTAAAGAGACTTTGGCAACTCCGCTGATCAATTCCAAGCTTCAACATCCCCCCCTCAGGCAACCCATGGGTATTTGATTGTCATCCATGCCTGGGGATAGAGAAATTTGAACCTTGTCTAGGCGGGTTGGAGCATTTGAGCTACAAGTGTCAATTTTTTCCTGCATAATACACCTGTTTACTGGAGGAGTTAAAGGGTAATGAGTCTACAACATTCTTTTATCGAACAAAGAATCATTCAACGATGAGTGGGGCATTTGAATGCAATTATTTTGACGGAGGGGGGGTGGGGAGTAAAACAAGCCAATCTTCAAAAGTACAAATGCCAGGGGAGTCGCTTAGGGAAAGGGAATGTTTAGGCTTCGAAGTGACTAACGCATCACCAGCCACTCAAAAAAAATAGCAGCAATCAGGACCACAGACCAAGTCAATATTGGTCTTATTTCAATTTGAAGTCTGATTAGTTGAGAGAGGAGAGTTTTCTAGTCATGATCACTGTTCACGGCAAAACTAAACCAAATGAATGCATTTAACCATATTACTTTCAACCCTCCACTGAAAATTGGAGTATAGGGATAAATTACGTTTACGTATTACAACCAAGCAAACCTTCAAAATAGAAACCTCACAGAGGGTGACAAAAGCTTTCACAAATAAAATCTGTGTGAGCAACATAACCTTTTTTTCAGTGGGAGAGTTCGTAGGAGCCTATGTGAACAATCGTGTCAAACGGTTTCAATTCATTTTGTGCTGTTTGAAATTCATGTTCAATAATTAAAAGAATCAAAAAGGGAGAATGACTTCATGTTACGGACCATTCGTTATTGATACTAGCGGTTGGGTTGAGTGTAATTCAGCAGTTTCCATTGATTTTGCGAGTGATTGGCCTTAGTTCCATAGCCGACGTTTCATGCAGTACAAATAAGACTGTGTCCCTGGTAAATGTTTACCACTGAACGCTTGATCATTCCAAAAAGTGTTTTTTTTTCTCCATAGCTCTGGTAAGGAAAACGTAAAGAAAACAGAAAAAGGTAAATGTGTTTTGCTGTTGCATGTCTTGAAGATTCATAGACAGGCAAATGATATATAAGTGCTTGCTTTATTTATCTCCGGTTTGATGGTGATGATGGAATCTTTTTTTTCTTCGAAGAATAATGGAATTTCTTTCAAAGTATCCAAAAATAAAAATTCGGATCAACAAACCGTGGCGTTTATCAAGTTAGTAATCTTGTCTTACAGTGATGTCCTACTTCCTAATTTTCTTCCGCGGCTCGTCACGATTACTCATTCTCAGTCACGAACTATAGTTCTACAAAGACATCTAGAATCATTTAACAGATTTTTTTCAATAAGTAAGGTAACTGCAATGAATGGATCTCCTTCGTGATTGGGCAATCGAAGGGTACAAATGTCATCTTGTTGATAGTTCCGTCAATCAGGTCAAGTCGAATTACTATAAAACTGATACGTGATCACAGTAAACACAGGTTTTCAAAGTTGCAAAATGTTGGCTAAACTTGGATCAGACGCCCTTCCCTGTCAAAATGCCGAATTTAAGATTCCATCTATCTACCCCGTTGAATTATTCTTCGTAGCAAGAAACGTGTTATTCAATTTTTGAAACACGCGACTTGAAAACATTCCCATTGTAACATTATGCATTATGTGACTGCTTTTACAAACTAGTTATTTAAGAGTCTCTTAGTCTCAATCGTAAGAGAGCGAAATTGGAATATCATATGTGACTAGATTCCGTAAATAGACTAAGTAAAAAGGATTAATGAAATATTTTCATTTTCAAACAGAATTCACTCTAGCATCTTTCAGGTGTTTGAAATCTTCCATAGATAGATTAAAATTTTTTCTTCTTCTGTGGCTAGATTTACTGCAAAAAGAAAAAACTAATCTCCATTGTTTTATTCCGCGCGTAAAAATCGGAACTGAACATGACCCTTTTGGCCTATAAAACATTTCTCTCTCTGATGGGGCCTGAATGTCACGCAGCCAGTTGCGTGACGATCCCAAAGTAAATCTTCTATTTGGACAAGAATAAATTAGAGTGGCTAATTTCTAACATCACTGTGAAAAAGGAAAGTTCAGTTTTTCAGTTTCTTAAAGAAATATCTTCTAGCCAATTTAGAATAACTCTAAAAGTCTATTTTGGACAAATTTTTTTTAGATTCTTTACTTGCGTGACTTGTTTTCTCTTATTATTTGAAAAACACTCTTCTCCTTGAAACAGAATCTCGAGCATTTCCAACTATATACTCAATTGGCAGCCATAGAAACTACTCTTACTCGAGAAAAGCTCAGCTTATTTCGAAATCCGTGCGAGTCACCCAAGTATTTGACGCTTTCATTTTCTAAGAAGACCGCGTGACTCTGGGGACTTCCTGCTGTCAATTTAACATCTGACTGCCTCAACTTTCTGTATAAAGAGATCGTCGATTCTAAAGCTTTCCATTCCATTTGCAATAACCGAAAAATCAATATCAAGAGAGACTAGGGACTACAGATCAAGCTTGGAGAAAAACCCGTCACAAGGCAAATATGGTCGAGGTACGGTAAACTTACTATACATTTAACTTTCCAACCCATTCAATCGTGGATTCCATGCAGTTAAATTTTCAATTAAGCCCGTGCAATTCATTTCTAGTCGCCTGGTGCTATGTTCGATTTAGATCCTAAAAGATGTTCCGGTTTTGTTTTTTCAACTTTCCCGGACAGTCAATTGAAATCAGCGCGTGCGCTCGAATGGACATCCCCGAGCACAGACTTAGCAGAAGCGGAAACCTCTTCATAGCTGATTTGCCGAAGAGCGAACCTGGTCGTCAAATTCCTGTAGAGTTTACTGGGAGCCATAGGGGCTACAAAACAGGTAAATTTAAGCGTATGGTAGGCTGTGATCCTCACAAAGGCTGTTATGAAGCTTTTCTGCATGTTAAAAGTGGCATAGTCCAAAATGATCGCGCATAATGTAACTGACTCGATGCCGATTTAAGTGCAAGTGGACCTTAATGTGTTTATAAATTGACTTTATTGTAAATGTAATCTACATGTAAAGACACCTACCGATTTTTGTCTCTCATTTTCAATTTTGACGGCGAGTTAATTGCAAAACTGCTTTAAATGACGCCCAAATATCTGTGAACATTCGCAAGGCCTTGTTAATCTAGTCATACTAGCAACTTTTGTGTTAAAATTATTCCATATAGTAATACAGAACTTTTCTGCTTTTGCAATTAACGACTACGTAAAATTCGATAACTAGTTTTCATGAAGTGTTTTTGTCAGAGAACAGGAAAAAAACTTTGGGCTTGTAGGTTCCCTGTGTTTTAAACCCAGCTTCAAAACACTATTCAGCATGCCACTAGACTGATCACATGACTAAAATAATCTTCAGTATGGTTCAGAGGTAAATTAAATATACATTAAAAAAGTTCAGTTTACCTCAAATAATAAATTAGACTTTTTTATTTTCATGTATCTAGTATTTTACATAGAAAAATCTTATAATTATGGGGCACATACTATAAGATATGACTTGGATGGCAGCCATTACTACCTGTGTGTAGAAGGAAACAGGGTGTTTTTACAGGTGAGTTGTAATTTACTGCGGTTATGAAATTATTATCACTTTTCAACTGCAACTTCCCATAAACAAATTACTTACGTAACTATTTAGCACAAAGAGTGGGCAAAAAGTAACTATTTGAATCTCTTTCTTGGTTTACATTCTTAGTTATTTTATGCGGAAAATGATTATTTGTGGAATAACTTTGAATCATTTTGTAGTAATGACTTGCCCCCCGACCTGACCTAATGCAGCCTTGTGTTACTTGCAGTAAAGTTACAACTGTCTAGTTTAGGTTGTTAATAGGCCATTTTACAGTTTTGCACTGGGTACAAGCCTTTCTTTGACCTTGTTGTGATTCAGACCAGTATCTTTTTATTTGTATTTTCAGGTTTGTTGCAAGGTGCCCAAATTCCTGATGAAATGAAATGGACCATTCATGTTTTATTTTCAGTTGGGTGTCCATCAGCCTGATGAAATGAAATACATCTTTGAACTTCAACATGTCAACAAAGATAGTGATTACATGTCTATTAAGTCTAAATACACTGGGAGGTACCTTGCCAGTGATGAAGATGGAAAGGCATTTGTGGAGGAAGTCAAACCTTCCTTAATGAAAGACAACCAGCCGACTGACAGACAAACATGGTTCCTTCTACACTTTGTGGAAACGGTGAAAAGAGAAAGAGAAAGTACATTATACAGTTGTAACTTTGAGAGCACAAGTATTAACTATTCTGTCACATGTCAGGCTCAAGTGGAAGCCTGTTAGGTGTAAATATGTTTCAATGTAAAAATACATGTACAGGAATAGAGAAGGAGAATTCTAAAATTTTTTTTTCATCCTGGGATGGTTTGTTCCATGTTTTATTTTATTTTTTTATTTTTTTGTAAATAGTTTGGATTTATTTCTTGCTCAGTGTATGTTCACTTCTTTCCAGCTTAATAGTTTTTATTTTAACACGTTTTCTTTTTTTCATCCTGGGACGGTTTGTTCCATGTTTTATTTTGTCCTTTTTTTTTGTAAAGAGTTTGGATTGATTTCCTGCGCATTGTATATTCACTTCTTTTCAGGTTCATGCGTTTTATTGGTTTGTGATACTTTGAAATGTGGGTGATAGGGAAGCAAGTAATTCATAATTGTTAACTGGTGAAAGACACTGGAATAGATTCAAATTTTTTTTTGACAAAATATAAGATATTTCACGTAGTTTTACATTTTAAGAAACTTCCTTCATGTGTTATCAAGTATCACTTTGCATTTGACTTTAATATGTAGTTGTAATAACATGACATTAGTTAAGGAAATATTACTTATTAAAAATGTTCTAGGTAATATAATTTGTAACTTGTACTGTAACCAGAATGTGTGTTTTACTGTATGAGTACCAGTAAATTTCTAATAAAAGCATTATTAGTAGAGACTTCAGTCATTCTTGCTATTGGTTTAAGACTAAGATAATGTACCTTGAGGAGAGGAAAAAAATGAAACTAATTCATTGAAATCTATTTAATCACACCTTTGTTAAAACTACAGCATAAATACAAGCTGAAAAGTGCAGTATGCATGTGTGGAAATTGTAGAACCAAAACTGAAGCAATCATTATCCATCTGTAAGTATTGAAAGGAGTTGTTGAGAACTCAAAGTAACCAATTGTAACTGACTGCAAGTGAGGGAAGCTCATTAAGTAACCAAGTGGAAGTTAACACTGATCTATAGGGATGAAGCTTCACAAAATGTTGTTACCTTAAGGCTGATTTTCACCATTTCATGATGGAAATGCAATCTGAGAAATAAATAGTGAAAACTAAAAATAGAAACTTCAAAGAGATTTTAGAAAGCTTGACCTGATAAAGGGTACATGAGTTACAAGGTTTTTGTTCCAAACTGATGAAAGAAAAACAGATGAAAGACATAGAGAATTGTTTGAAGGCTTCTTATACAATCAAACTCAACTTCTTATTACTTTTAATTAATAATTTTGGTTTAATCAGCTAAGTTGACGATGTAAATTGGCCACTTAAAGAGTTTCAAAGCTGACACTTTGAGGGACAACACTGCCAAAGCGTTTGCTTTAAACACTGGCTCTGATGAAGGGCTAATGCTCAAAATGGAAGCTTTGAAACTCTTTGTGATGCTCAATTTACATTATCAACTGAGTTGATAAACCGAAATTGTCTGGTTATACTCCCTCGCCAGTGCAGCACCACAGTTTCTTTAGAAACTTACTCCTTCATTCTTCTTGCTTTGACTTGCAATTATCAACACTTGGGGCAGCCCTTAACTCTTTAACTCCCAGATCAAATTTTTAATTCTCCTTACTGTCAATCATACAATTCTTATAATATTAGTTCAGAGAACTTAGTATTGGATCAACTAATTACTCCCAAATTGATATTTTTCTTTATTCATATCTCTTGTCTTGTTGATATTGTAAGGAGAAATTCTGTCTTGGTCACTCATGGGAGTTAAAGGGTTAAATTAACAATATTGCACCATGCACTACCATGTAACATACTTTGTCATAATTGACTGATCCTCTCGTAAATTTGGATCCAGTCTGACACAATGCTGGGACTATTTTGTTGCCGACCTGGGAGCTGGATAAGATGAATGAATAAGGAATCTAGAGAGTAAAAGTAAATGAAATGGCATTCAAGTCCTCGAGAAAGAGGCAGGAAACGATGAAATGGTGAAAAAAAAGTCTTTATCATGCATTACTTGTGCTTTAATTTACTGAGTGGGTAATTTAAATTGACCACCATAAATAGTTTTTAAAACTGAATTTTCAAGCGCTGGCCCATCATCAGGCCGTACAGAAATTGCGCCCTAGGAATTTAATTCCAGGCCGACAAAAGATCACGATAAGTCACGTTCAAGTTGATCGATTGAATGCACACATTTGAGTACTTCATGAGAGACGCAACTTCTTCCTTTACATAACGGGAACACTAAAACCAAATAACCAGTGAAAAAAAAACGCAAAAATGGACAAACCTCTTAGAAAGCCTCCTAGTAATCCGCCCCGGTATTGAGCCATAGACTGCGCCATGTTGTAAGCATCTCCTGCTCCATCAAGACATTTATACGGCATGTAACACGCAAGGAATTGTCTCGCTTTTCTTCAACTTTTGTTTTTCGCCTAATGCACATCTGGTCCTGGTTGTTCTAATTTCGGATAACGCTATCCACTGGATAAATCTCTATCCGGTAAGTAGCGCAGTACATTTTGTAAAGAGTTATCCGCTGGAGAGCAATTTATCCGTCGGACAGGGTTATACGCCCTTCTACAACTGGACCCTGCCGTTTATTTCAGTAGTTTGTTTTGGGCCCTTTTTTACACAGACAGCTTACTGATTATTCATCAAGAAAATACTCCCCAAATACAACCATCAACGACAGAAACCCTAAATTCATACATTTTAATTTGTTATTTATTTATTAATTTTTCCTATGACCTGCATAATGTATTTGCAAAAATTATGAAATTGTGGTGGAAACACCAAACAGCAGCCACATTGTGGTTAACCTGAATAGTGCCAACGTACGATCAGATCACATCAGATTTATACCTTTACTACAACAAACTTCCATTCTTTGAAAATTTTCACAAACTTTTGCCTAAAATGTGCAGATGCCTGAATAACTTACTCATAACTACATGGTTAGGGGTATAATAATGTTAGTTCCAAAATGTACAACAATGCGACAATTTTCAGTTAAATTGACTTGGCTTCCAGCAACTTCTCCTTGCACCAAGTTCTCTTGTTTCTCTGGAGGATCAGATTTGCTGACAGTTCAGATTTTTTTGAGGGATTTATTACGATAGAGATTGAAAACCAACAACAGGAAAAACTCATTAAAATAAGACAATGAATAGTTTCGGAATCAAATTTTATTTCATAACCTATTTACATGGCCAAAGGCTCATTAATGTTCCTAAAAGTGTTAGTCTGCAAATAAGTAAAACTTATACCAAACATTTTATTTAAAAAATTAATCCTTGTTACAATACCATTGTAGTTGTAGCAAGCTTTCTTCTGGCAAGACTGGGTTAAATATGCATTTTTGATACAACCATCAGGTAGAAGCCTAAATTAATGGTTTCTCTGTCTTCATACACTTTCTCAAAAGCATACTTGTTCTGCAAGTGAGTTTTTTAATAATTACAGTTCATCACCACAACAAGATAAATCACTCTTTCAAAAATTGTGATAATCTTTTACAATCAATTCTTGTTTCCAAAAACTTTACACAAATCATTTTCCATTAACATCACAGAAATCAAATTATCATTACAAACACCAGAATAAAGAAGTATTCAATTTAGTAACACTGTACATGGCTAATGTGCTCTTTCACTAGACACACCTCTTTCGTAAACAAGAAATCTTCTTACAATCAATTACAATTTAAACCTAAAATGGAGACATGTCAAACCGAATCATCTGCAAGAGAGAATGAAAATAAGTGTATTTAATAATTATATATAACATTTCACTCACTCCAAAATGTGAAAATAAATTTGGTCTGGAATTTAACTGATTCTGAACAACTATTTTTTTCTTGACCTTCATTCTCTGAATTCAGAATTCCTGGGAATTTTCTGTCCCATACACTATTTCTTTTGGTTTTAGTTTCCTGGCTATACAGATTTTCCCCCTCCACTTGATAACCAAAATAACAATATACATATATTTGGGAAGAAAACAACTAATGTCGATAACATGAGCGGATAAAATAATCTGAAATAACACAGGGCGGGAAATTAAACCATCAATATGACTTAACTCTGTTCCCAATTTTTATCATGCCTGTATCAAATCTTTACCTAATAGTGAATGTTTAAATAATGCTAGAAACAAATTTTTTTAAGTGTACATCACAGAAACTTGTTGAAGCAATTGAGGTTCTAAATTAAACAAACTTTAGCTCTAAAATGTGTTTACCAAACTTACCATGATACCACCATCTTGTTTTCTTTGGACTTTTATGACATGTTTTAACATACCAGTTATTATCAGGAGGAAGTTTCTAGAATGAGAATAAATAAAATAATTTAAGTTATACTGACAAATGCCATGGTAAGCATTGTTATCACAGAAAATAATCATCTCCTTGCATATAAATTAGCTTTTCCATATCAGCTAATGCAGTGTTCTCCCTTATTTTAAGCATGACAGGTAAAATAAATTTTCAAACTGGTAAAGCAAGCCTTTTACAAGTTGAATTTTCAAGAATTCCAAGCAATTTTAAACAGTAATAAGAGGTACTACAGGCAGTAAATGTTACCGGTTACTGCCTGAAAAGGAGAACACTGTAATGGGACTTACTGATGACTGAGGGCAATTCAGCGGGCATCAGAGATCTATTTGCTCATGCTCCATGGCCAATGTCAACGAGCGACTATGAAAATCACAAAATATTGTACTGCGCAAAGTACACTTATATGAAATCAGTGATCCAGCAATAAACAGTTGAAAGCTTCATGGGAAGCTGTACACAATGCAGAAAGAAATGAAAAGGACGCATCCAAACAAGTCACTCGACACTTTAATCTCCCTTATCATTCTAAGCATCATATGGCAGTCTGTGGCCTTTCCCTAAATCTAGGCAGTTCAGAAAGCCACAAAACTCTAGAACAAATATTTATCTTTCAAATTAGCACTCTTAATCCCCAGGGTATCAATAATGATGATGAGTGGGAAAAATGAATTAAAAAAACATTTATACATGCTGCCTGGAAGAACAATTGAGCTTACCTTTTCTTGACAGCTACTTAGCATACTGACAATACTGAGACAGACAGATTCCACTGAGAGAGCTGGAGACCAGTCATCCGTCAAGATTGACAAGCATATATGTCCATTACTGTAAACGTGAGGATGGACAGGGATATTTGACCCTCCAAATATTACCTGCATCAAGAAAAAGAATTTTCCTTAGTGGCTGTGAAGGTGAGAGTTCTTTCCCTCCTGTTTGTATGATCTATTGCATGTGGCATAACCTTCAAATTCCTAAAACAAATGCTTTCTATTGATTGGTTCCTTTTAACCCTTTAACTCCCACAGGTGACCACAGCAGAATTTCTCCTTACAATCTCAATACAATATCAAGCAGACAAGTAATGAGGTTAACAAAAAACATTAATCAGGGGATTATTAACTGCTCCAATTTTTGCCCATTATTTGAATTACAAGGCAGACAGAAAGGAGAATTTCTATCGAGATCTTGGAATTTAAATGGTTAACCCTTTAACTCTCAGAAGTGATTAACATAAAACTTCTCCCTACAATATCCATACATTCTTCAGCAATCAAGTAATGAGAATATTCAAACTTGTCGAGTAGAAGCTGCTATCTTGATCTAGCACCAAGTTCTCATAACTAATTTACTAGGAAATGTGTAGCAGCTAAAGGGGAGAATTAACAATCAGATCTTGGGAGTTAAAGGGTTAAAGCACAGCAAAAGTAGTTGCACACTTTTTCATGCATATGCATTGCTTCAACGCTATTACCAAGAAGTTGGGCTAACAACACTCATTCAACTCCACACTTTTTAAAATGCAGATCTCAACAAGGTGAAACAGGAAAAATCATTTTTACCTCAGGTGACTCAAAAGGATATTTAGATCCAAATTTAAATTCTAGCTGAAATTTTTCCCCATCATATAATGTCCCTAAAATGCAAAAATACAAACAATATTTAATAATTCCAGTAAATATTTTACATAAATACATAAACTCGAAGCTAACTTTGTGACTTTCTGTCTGTAGTAATTTGAGGAGCAAGTTTGTATTCATGATCAACTCTGTTTCATGAGGCAGGCTTCTTCCTTTCCAACTCTGTTTCATGAAGCAGGCTCCTTCCTTTCCAACACCCTAACTGATTTTTCTTTTTTGAATATCACAACCCACTGAATTTAAATATTGTAAACAATACAAAACAACAACGATAGTCAACTTTTCATGAGCTGATAATACGAAGGTTTCCATAAACACAGCTGAATGAAGACTACCACAGTGGCCACCGTCAAAATATCAAGTTAATTTGAAATCCGCTGCATTGTTTATTGAAATACTTAAGGATAAATCATATAACAAATTTGGTCTACCTGGAGCCCCTTCTACATGAATTATCCACCTGGAAAGAGAAAAATCGAACGAACATTTACTAAAAACGAAATTCACGGAAGTACAAACATTCCCATAAATCCGCCCAATTAAGTTTAGCTTTCCATGATTGATATTAAAGGCAGACAGCTTAAAACTTACGTAGCAAGATTTGAAGATACTGAATCGCTGTCAAGATACATTCCAGGTGGAGGTTTCGTTTTGATCTCTTTCAACTCCTTTTGCAATCTCCTTTGCCAGGCCGCCATTTTGATAAATTGTAATTCACACACTGTTATGATTGCCTCGATATGGTCCTTATGCGCGAATGAGTACGGTGTTAAATAGGCTCCACTCCACCGCAGATATGACGCAAAGATGACGTAACAGGTGGTTCCCCCTCTGAGTCATTGAACAAGTAAGGCAACTATGTCAAAACATTTAGCAGACAAATGACTCAACCGTGTTTAGGAAAATTACATCTTGGTTTAAAACTGTTCCATCATCGGAATAAAATATGCATACCCGCTAGCTCAAAGAAAATTTAAGGCACTCTGATGATACGGTCACAAGTACCGAAATATAACTATCAAACTTACTCTAGCTAGGCTTTCTGAAATATAAATATTTTGACGCAATAATGAATTAACTCGACTAGTTAAGGCAGTCTCTATCACGGGTTTGAGTAAGGCCGGCACAACCATGAAATTGTTTCACTTCATTTTTTTTTTTTTTTTACTAAAGAGTGGAGGTTGATTTACAAACGCGTGACTTTTTTCCATACTTAGATTAAAAGAAATAATTGGTGAAGAACGAGCAATTATAAAATAATTCAAATAGTACGCGCGCTCTGATAGGCCATAAAACCATTTTACATGAGCGTATGTAAACACGGTTTTCGTTCCTCTTTCATTAGTTATTTTATATATATCGATAAGCTGGAAACCACTCCGCTTCGCGTCGTGGTTTCCTACGCTTATCTCGTGTTCTCCCAACCTCCCGCGTGTTTACATCAGGCTATGTAAACACGGAAACCATTTTACATTTCTTTTATAAAATAACTAATGAAAGAGGAACGAAAACCGTGTTTACATACGCTCATGTAAAATGGTTTTATGGCCAACCTCCCGCGTTTACATCAGGCTATGTAAACACGGAAACCATTTTACATTTCTTCAGCATAAATCAACAGTAAAAATTAATGTTTCTGTGCCATAGCATCATGGCACCATGTCATTTCCAAGCTTAAAATAAGAAAATACGATTAGCTGAATTTTACACGCGTTTTACTTCAGTATGATCTACCGGAGGACAGACACAAAGACGACGTCACCATCAACAAAATTTTGCGTTTTATCATATGAAACAAACAGACTCCGTGTTGTCGTGCATCTGTACAGTGATAGATCACAGAGGATGCCAAAATGCGATGAGGACATTAGTGACCTTCGCTGCGCCTCGGGTGCCACCTTTTTTGTTCCCACGACATTCTGACATCATCTCTGACCTCGACCTATCACTGAACTAACGCACGGAATTCAGGGGGATAAGTTTCTAAAAAAAAGTGTGGTGCTGCATCTGCGGGACAGAACAACAGGGTCATCTAGAGAGCCTTGACGAAGGGCTAACGCTCGAAACGTCAGCTTTGAAACTCTTTACGGTGGCTGAATTACGTTATCAACACAGTTGATAATACTAAATTAGCATGGAATCTACTTTCGTTGAAAAATCGCGTGACTGCATAATTATCTGGCTTATTTTCGGGGAATTATTTTAAAACGTCATTGGCTTGCATTAATTATTTTTCTTACGTGCGGATACGTGTTGGATTGAGTTTTACCAAAATCACACAACGTTTCGACATCATTTTCATAATATTTTCGACTAAAGGAAAGTAAATTTCTAGTTGATAAAAAGAAACAAACGAATGAACTAAAGATTGGAGAAATGGATGGCTGAACAAAAGAAGGAATCAGATTTATTCATCAGCGGCAATAATTTCAAAATAGAATTGTTACCAAAAAAGGGTCAAATATTTATAAATAAATACAGATAAAACCGTCAGTTTATATAACCTTTTAGATTATAGTATACACCTGTCAGTCAAACGGAAGTATTGAACACTTTTTTTAGCGTATTACCGTAACATACTTCATTTCATTACTAGAAAATGATATCGAAACGATATATGATGCGGCTAATTTTTGCAATTTTTAAAGGAAAAAAGAATTTTGATTATGGTAGAAAGTTTCTATTCGAGATAATTTCTCAGACTCATCAATTATGCGTGAGATAATTACCACTTGTGTGTCCCATTTGGGTCACATGTGTGCCCCTTCATACCCTGGTAACGAACAGTTGAGCAGTTTGGATTTTAAAAAACTTGTGGATATCCGAAAAACGTGCGTGGACAAAGAAAGGTAGTTGTGGCTGAGGAGTACTTATTCGTCGAGATTCACTCGCTTGAAAGTTCGGGCACCATAAGGACACGATGTCGTGAGTTGGTCGTTAATGGGTATGATCCAAGATCAGTTCCAAACCAATGACACCGACTTTGAAAAGTCACATGAAATAAAACATGTTACTTCGTCGTGGGAGTAAGTACACGCCACCTGCATGGTCACGTGCGAAAGTATCCTGCACATGGTCTCGTGCGAAAGTATACTGCACACAGTCACATGTGCAAGTTTGATCTACTCCATTTGTCGGTAAACCTGGATTACGCGGTATCGTATGTGAATTCTTTGGGAGCTGGAGCTGTTTTTTCGACTCTAAAACATAATTGGAGGGGAAAAAATATTAAAATTATTTTCAGCGCAAAGTTTACTGACCGTGCACATTATCTGTTGACATAGGGAAAACCGAAGCTCTTTTTCAACGCACTTACCCACTGGAACGAATTCGTTCTTTGTGACGCTTTTTCTTCAGTTTCCTCTTCTGATTCTTGGACAGTTTAGACGCCTGCTCTGATGATTTTGAAAGATCTGACCCAGTGCCACTCGCTGTATGCTCTCTGCATTTTTCATCCTTCGGTTCCCCTCTTTTCTTGGATACTGCGCTGAGACTCTCTGCAAATGAAAATAAAACATCTTCTACTGACGTTGTGTAATTGGCATGAAAAAAAAAATCACGCAACACTTTTTGATAAGTCAGATACAAAACTACAACCAAATGCGATTTTGTGAATAGAGGTTTCCCCAGACATTCAGCAGTTTGCTTATTTTGACCTTATATTTTCATTGCGTGTGGCTCTCTACGAAATTCACAGGGACTGGGACTAAACTTGCTGTTCAGGCTAGTGCTTTGGTAATGACCTTAGAACAATTAACCGAAATGAGCTCTATTCCACTTACTTGGATTGAAGAAAATTACCGAGTTCGCTGGCTCGAAATGTACAGCATTTACTGCTTTCCCGTGAGAATCACTTTCTAAAGATAAATTATTGGTATCGGTTGCTGTTTTGGCAAAGGGTTTATTCTTGGTCTAACATAAGGTTCTCTTTCAAAAGGGCCTTAACCTGGACAACAGAGGGCGTGAGGTAAAATACATCCTTTTTAATCTATAATCCTTCTCACTTGGCAAAAAAGGCACGGGATTTTCAACACCTATTAGTCTTGAAGGGGAAGACGGCGTGGCTTGCTCATCTCGTGAGGAGACTTTGTGCGGTCGAGGAAAATTTATATCTAATAAGAAAAGACACAATTATTAATCACTAATATCTCATCAACCAGCCGGTATAGTTTATACCAAAGGTCGTTGGCCCAATTGAAAAATTCTATATTACGTATTGTTTTTCCTTTGCTCATATAAACATTCTAGTCAATGGGTTATTTATCCTATCTTGCAAGCGCAAGCAGACCCTCGTTACTAGCGGTTTGGGACGAGTGTTTCCTCACCCGCGGAAAAGTACGCGGCCTTGAGCAACAAAAGCTGGGAAGAGATCTGCAAGGGTTCTGGAACTGATAATGAGGTGCCAGACCCCCGGCAAACTTTTCCCCAATTCGTCTAGCCTACGAGGGGAGGGAGGAGGGCACGGCTACAGGTAGGCTATAATTCGTCTCAAATCATCCCAAGGGCGGAGAAACGCGCGTCCTGCAGCGCTACTAAGCAATGAAGGCCTACTCACTCCCCGCTACAACATAACCTGAGTTTCTGACCTGATTCCTTAAAAACTTCTTCATAAAAACAAAACAAACAACGACAGTAACAACGAAGACGATGATCTTATTATACAATCCAGTCAGATACGGAGAAAAACATCGACTCGGACAAAGCTACAACAAAGACGAGTTGCTGATCCCACATGTCAAACGCTACCTTCAGCCACACTCAGCTTTCGTTTCTCTCTTTCAGCGGATCTTTCTTGCGAGTCTTTATCTAATGTTCTGACGATGAATTGTGAATTCGTTTCCACGCCAGCGTCATCATCATTATCATCATCACTGGAATCTGACTCTACTTCTGAAGGGAACAACTTGGTTAGGACTTTCTGGCGAAAAACTGAGGAAAAAAAAAACAGAATAAGTCAGGGTTGCTCTGATTTGTACTGTTTGAATTTAAATTCAGTGACCCTGATGAATGTCCTTACTTCATAGGTAGAACAGAAATTGGAAAATGCCGCCTATATGGAGACAAAAGGTAAAATAGCTTTTTTAAACAAAAAAGGAAAAAAATAATGGTGTCAACAAGCACAGCAAGTGTCGACTTGCGAGCCAAGCTCCTCACTGGGAGTTTCCTGAACCAACATATAATTTCTCCTTACAGTATTTCTGCTGAATCATTCATTCAGGTAACGAGAATAAAGGAAATGACCTCCAACCTGAGAAGCTTTGATCGCTAAACGAATTCTCTTCGTCAGTACTTAAGTAAATACATAGAGAGTAGTATGGAGAATATGGATACTGATATTAGCGTGTAAAGGGTTAAAAAGAAGGACTCTGGAAAACTGGTATATCACGTTACAACTAACCAATTAATTTTAGCGCGATTCTATTGGCTGCTTTACGTCACGTGGTGCAAAACCATCGCACAGTTCTCACGCATAATAACACACTTCTAATTTTCACGCGATTCAAAAGCTCTCATTTGCTGTCGAAGTTTCGCTTCTCGGCCAAATGTCTTATTATTTTTCAGACAATGTCTCAGCCGCGGACATTATCGGCCAACATGGCAGCCACCTAAACGAGTTTATTTACTAAATAACATCAGTATGCATCGATGTTTGCCCTCCAATTATTTTTGTCGAAAAGAGCCTACCGAAAAAAAAAAAAACAGCTCGACAGTTTCACTTTTTCATCCTTCTTGCTTTACATCGAAGCACAACGAACTCGTTTTGAAGAGTCCAGTGTCAGTGGCATTAAAAGGCTCATCTCAAATGCTGCTCATTCAGCGCAAAGTTTACTGACCATGCACATTATCGGTTGACATAGGAAAAACCAAAGCTCACTCCCTTATTAATGGGAGGGTTATAAAAACAAGTAAATAAACCCCTTTCCGGCTTGCAGGTAAGGCGGCTGATAATGTCTTTGGCTGAGAGATTGTCCTCAAAATTCACATGTTATCCAGCCAATGGAATATGAGAATATTCAAATTCATTAGTTAGAAGTTGTTATATTAATCCAACACAAAATTCTCGTGACTAATTTATATTGGAAATGTGTCGCAGCGAGGGGAGAATTAACAATCAGATCTTAGGAGTTCAAAAGTTAACCCTTTAACTCCCAAGATCTCATTAGTAATTCTCCTTACTGTCTGCCAAATGATTCTCATTATGTTAGTTTGGAGAATTTGGTATCGGATCAATTAGTAATCCCATGATTGATATTTTCCTTTATTCTCATCACTTGTCTGCATGATATTGTTTAGATACAGTAAGGAGAAATTCTGTCTCGATCACTCACAGGAGTTAAAGGGTTAAAAAGAGCTAAAGCGTGTTTAAAGTAGAATCACGTTATTACAATTCTAATTTACGCCTTCGATATTCTCACAATCAACGACAACCCTTTTCCAAACGAGGGATACTCCGCAACAGACAGCCAGCGACCCAGTCGTCGGGTCTAAAGCATTCAATCTACACTAAACACAATTCTTACATCGTTCCCTAGCTGATGTCATCCTTTCAGAAAAGCGGGCTGTTCTGTAATCTGGAAGTGAAGAAAGGTAACATAAACGATTCGAGCTTTGTTCTGCCAACTTCTAAATACTTTCAGCTTAGCTTAGCTCTTTCAGTCTAGTTTCCAGTAGAGCAGTTTTTCAACTGAATGTCGAGAGAGTTGAACAATAACGGCCAATCGGGGCAAAGGTTAACAACACCACAAGCCAATGAGTATTCAAAGAACGAACGATAAAGAGCACAGTACATGTACTAAGATTACCGTAGTTAAAATTTTACCAGAGCCTCTTTAGGGACTGGGGAAAGCCGGATCCGGCGTGGGAATGAAGGGGTGTGATATAACACGCCTTATAAATATAATTATTATTATTACTAACATTATCATTATTATTATCATCATCAACATAATTATTGACTTTTAGACTATTTATCGTTCACAAGTATTTGAAAGATTGAATTCTAAACAATTGCTTTTTATGTTGATAATTTCACCTGTGAACGCTTATTTTGCCTTGGTTATGCAAGTTTTCCAGAGTTAGTATTCATTTTTGTACGTAAAGCACTATTTGTTTTCGTTCTATATACATCTGTAAATATTCTGACTGAGTTGTGAATAAAGATCATTACTATCTTCAAAAAAAAATTTATCATAATTATTACTATTATCATTATTATTATTATTACTATTATTATTATCATTACTATTTTTGATCGGTAGAACTTGTTCGTTGTTTATAAAAGATGCTAATGCCATTAGGTAACACTGTCAACATACATGAGGTTTAAAGAAACCAAAGATTTTCTTTTTTTTAGAAAAAGAGTTTCATTCTTAGGTGAGATGACATAGATTTTGTTTCACAGTGCGTCAGCCGACAATTCGCTGTCTACTATCGAGGTTTTTTTTTCATTTTTTTTTTAAGTCGCTGTCAAACGGGCGTGAGAGACCACAGACGTTATCGAAAGGAGGACTAGGAGTCCAGCTGTCATATTTCCGTTTTAAAAATAGACAGCTCGGTTTTACACCCCATAGTTTTCGGCATTGTTAGAGATTTTTTCGGTGAAAACTTTTTTTCCGATAGCTGCTTTTTGTCTATATCAAATGAGAGACTAATTTCAATGATACATATTTGTAAATATCCAAAACAATTAAAATGGCGGAGTCTCCATAATCAACGGTCAAGACCGTAAAACTACTTAAGTGTCTGCTCCCGGCGTTTGTAAAATTAACGAAATGGTGATTCCGAGACTTCTCTCTTACAAAACACTGAGCGAAAAGTATTTCAAAATACTTTGATGAATCGTGACATGTGGAAGAATTGTTTTGTTGTTAAGGCATGGGTTGGAACCAGGCTTAAATGAAAATACATGCACGAGTTTCAATGAGCAAATAGTTCTGAATTTTAGCGAGTAAAAGAGCTGTATGATTTGGATCGTAGAGTGGAGTTCTGAAATTTTGCTCTACGCAAAATCACAGGGGTTTGGGGAGGTTTAGAATATGCTGGTTCCCAGACCTCTACTGACTACTGTAAGGAGGTTTTGAAGTTTGACAAGTTTACTTCCAAAGAAAGCTACGTATCCTTTTCACCACATGTAATAATTTCCCATAATAGGAGCGTCTAATTTCCTTCTTGGCTATCGAAGAGGATTGTTAAAGCCCGGGTCACTAAATAGTACAAAATAAACAAAATCCATTAATGAAAAATAAGAGATTGTAGTGACTGGACTAGAATTATTCTGAAGATCACTTTTCACAACGATGCATGTCCTACACTACACCAGACCTGCCTCAGAGGCTCTTTAATTACACGTGGAATTGTACACTTTCACCTGTCAAATTAGGTCACGTTTCCTCTTTCAGCAAAGCTGAAGAAATTCAATAGCTCGCTCAATTTTTTTTAATTTTTTGTCAACGAGCTAACAGGAACTTTTCGCGACATACAGGTATCAAGAAAGTGTGGTTCGGGCAAGGAAAGATCTGGAAAGCTAATTGGAACACTTAACATCAAATTAGCCACGAAAATGCGTTCAACCCATTAAGAAATTAGCGTTCGATAAGACTGTAAGAAATTCGAAAAATCTGATAATTTACAAAAGGTCATAGTTGAAACTTTATGGAATTGTTTCCCATGGCATTCTAAAAAAAATAATAAAACACGCTATTCAAAACAATACTAGAACTAAAATTAAGTTCATTCTAGTTTTTGGTTTCTGTTTATCAGTCATGTGGAAATTTGGCCTGTTCGCAATGGCTAACAACGACAACACGTGAATAACTGAGAAGCAGCTGATCCCTGCAGGACTCCAAAAAAAATGAAATAAACATTGAAACTGGAGCACTACTCAACTTTCGATTTCGACCTGAGAGCATAAAACTGAAATTGAAATAAATGAAAATCAGTCCGCTTGGGCAATATCGAAAATGGTCTCACGACCCCTTGGTCCAAAATAACTGATACAGGACGTGCAAATATTAGACCCAAAGACGAAAAAGACATGTGCCAAAAATAGATAACGTCTGTGTCACGCAAAAAGAAAAAAGTCAACTTAGCACTTGAAGAGGTTGTTAGCGTGCATGAATTCAAGTGAAACTAGCGTGAGAATTTCGAATTTGGGAGGTACTAGGGAAGTGCAGTTTCAACACGCACGACTTATCAAACTGTAATCTTCCTTTCCGGGAAATAAGGGGCACGAAATGCAAGAATGAAATACACGACTCCGTTCCTCCATGAAAAAAAAAACATAAAAAGCGACAGGAAACCTGTTGCTTTAAGGAAAAAAAAATCGACAAATTCTCGGTACAGTGTTACTGAAAAGCGTTGTGACTTCTGAGCTAATTTTAAGTCCCAAGAGGTGTTTCGAGAAAGAGTGCATTTATCACAACTGTAAATGAAGCCGGCAAATTGTCATTTACAACGATTTCATGTCAATCAGGAGCCGATAGCTTGAATGGAGAACAATCTCAGCCAATGAAATCGCATTCTTTAATGGTTGCCACGCGAGCAAAGGCTCGAGTCATCTCCATTCAACAATTAACATCCATCTGCGGTTGAAATGCAAAATAGGTTGTCATGCAAGGTTAACCTCAGTGGAAAAAGCTCACCTATGGCAAAAAGTAGTAGTAATAATAATAATAATATAGTCGATGACCAGCTTAGACGCCAAAATAAAATTCTCAGGAATTAAAATCGGCCTAAAAACAGAAAGTAAGGCGGTAAGTTGCTCAACTTATGCTGGTGGTGACTTTCGTGAGTCGACGCCGCATTTCGCTGCGCTAAGAGATTAGTGTCAATACTACGTTTACGCTCTGTCGCATCAATTGCTATGCAAATTTTCGCAGCTCCACGCACACCTAGGAAAGCTACCGTGCATTGTGACAAAATAACAAAAAAAAACAGGCAGCCTCTGCAAAATTGTACCGTAGAGAAAACAACCACGTTTCCAATCACAGGAGCCAATCTCGTGAAAATTTCAACATTTTTCAGAGCGGCTGTTCAAGTTTGTGCTCAATAAATAAACCTCGTGGGGTAACAGGCAAGACTACTGCTCATTGGTTATGCTTGGTTGCTTCGCACGCTGTGATTGGCTGAAGTTCATTTCAATCCTAAAATTCACACCTGAGAAAAGCTTTGCGCGTGGCTTATTAGTAGTCCTTAGAAAAGCATTTGTTTCAGTACGTATCCGGCTCGCGCACGGGAGCACAACAAAGGGAGTACATATTGAGAAACTTCGCCAGCTTTGGCCAAAATCAACCTCCAGTAGATATCAAAAGGGCAGTAATTGTCAATCGGCGAAAGGTAACGCTAAGAAAGTCACACTGGCCAGTTTGCAGACGGTTGTTTTCATTTCACTTTCGAGTCATGGTGCTGCATGAAGTTGAGAGAACGTTGTGTGAGTGCTGCAACAGGCTTCGAAGACGAGAAATGGTTCATCATACCATACACAGTGGAAATTTTGAGCCATCCGAGCTTAAGATCGGAAGACTCTTGGGAAGCGGTGGCTTTGGATCCGTTTACGAGGCGACATATTGTGGGGAGCGAATAGCTATAAAAAAGCTTCATCAGGGAACAAAGAATGAGAGGGCCGCACTGGAAAGTTTCGAGGCTGAAAGCTCCATTCTACATTTCAGACATCCGAACATTGTGCGAACGCTCGCAGTATTGACCATAATGGAGACTCGTTGCATAATAATGGAGTTTGCCGGCGAGAGAAACTTGCAAAGCGTCATAAACGATCCATTTGAGGAGTTGGATGCTAATCGACGCAGAAAATTCTCCTTCAATATTGCAACTGCTTTACAATTTGCCCACCAGCAAGGGCTAGCACATCTAGACTTAAAACCGGGAAATGTGCTCGTCACCGCCGAAGATCAATGCAAACTGGCTGATTTTGGGTGCTGCCGCGCCGTTGAGGAAAACAATAAGCCAGCCAGCCCGACAAAATCGAACTTGACTGGAACATATGCTTACAGGGCACCGGAACTTCTAAAAGGCGAAAGCCCGACAACGAAAGCGGACGTTTATTCGTACGGAATATGCTTGTGGCAAATGCTGAAAAGAGAACAACCGTATGGAAACGAGAATCAACATGTTATTATTTTTGGAGTTGTCGCCTATCAGCTGCGACCCGAATTGAACGACGAAATTACAGGAGATGGACAATATGTAAATTTAATCAGACAATGTTGGCAGGCAGAGGCGAAATTTAGACCTACAGCCTCAGAGATCGTTGCCAAGCTGCAACAAATCAAAGCTGAAACAGATTTCAGCAAAGAAAGGTTGAGCGAAAAGCTTTGCGATCATCAGGTGTGCCTTCAAAACAGCAGATTGCACTAACTGCACTTGAAAATTATTGGACAGCCTAATTTATCTATTTTTCCGGAATTTCAATACACACCTTTTTTAGTTAGATGACATGTGATTGTGAACTCGCAACGTGAGTACCCAAGACTTCTTACCTTCCAATCGAGAGAACATTCCATAGAAAATATGTTTTTTCATAAAAATAAATGAGGTTATATTAATTGTAAACATTTGTGTAATAATATTTCTTATACGTAAACGGCGCTCCTGCCAAGCCAAAAATAGCCTTTGAATTTTCAATAAAAGAATGCAACAATTTGCAAATTAACTTTGAGTGCGTTTGATTTTTGGTCGTATCATGGTCCATTGGGTTTTCAAGCGCGATATTTCGCTTGCATGCAAAGATCCTATTTCTCACGGAAGGTAAAAGCCCACTCCTTTGTTCCAATCGGTAGGCATTACTTTTTTGCATTTGTAATGATCGCACAAATATTCTAAAGCTCTTAGGAACAGATTGACCGATAGTAGTGAACAAAGGACGCTAAGGCCGTTTGCGCGAGTCATTAGACTTAAATCCAAGAGAAATCTCGAGAGAATTTGGAACTCGGCGTCTTTCGCGAGATCCGGCGCAGCTTTATTTTATTTTTCGTCTAATTTAATACCCCCCTGGAGACACTTTTGTTAGGGCCACGTTCTTATGGCGACATCTTTCTGCAGAAACATATAGCAAAGCTTATTGAATATTGGAAAAAGGGTGCTGATGTAGAGCAAAACATGACTCACGAGAAATCGAAGCGCGCAAATCTCATAAACGATGTGCGCGCTCTCAATCTGCCGACGACCGCTTTACCCATTTAATTTCCAACTACCGAATGCTAAACCTCATTTCAACAAAGAAGAAGGCAAATTTGCATTTGCTGCACAAAAAAGTCTTTGTAGTTGACCAGCTGTAGTTGTCCATTAGAATCAATAATGCCTTATGCAACCACGGTACAAGAGCCCAGCAAGTTGAGCGCCAACTTTATTGTTAAGTCACCTGTTGGAGGCGGGGCACGTATTGATCGTGCGTTCGATGAGAGCACTGATTGGTCAAAGAGACAATACAATCAATTTTCTTAATAGGCGACGCGTGCCAGAGCGCGAGCTGTTCAAAAGTGTAGCCACAGAACAGAATAAAACAAGATCCCTGGACCGTCTGGAGACTTACATCAACCTAAAAATGATCCACAAATGGTCGAGTCTCAGTACGCTGAGCGCACGATCGATTGCTTTCGAGAGCACAATCATTAAAGCGTAAAAAGACGAGCCAACTGTGCGTAATAGCAGCTTCTCTTTGCAGTCGGTGCAGAGCTCATTAAACAACCTGACTACAAGTCCAGCCCAAAACGCCTCGTATTTATTACATTTGCGGAGTATCGTTACAAAACTTGCGACCGTTCTCAACCCCAGCAAACGCCTCTGTCCGTTTTACTTAATCAAACACACGAGCAATAAATCGCAACACCAGGGAACCATTCAAACCGAATAAAAATCCCGCTGGGTTTGCAGGTTAAGGGTAAAACGACAAACCAATTACTTATGCAAAAAACGTGCAGACAGCTGACAAATTGAAAAACCTTGTCCAATCAAACATTAGACCCTGTTTTATTGCAATGATCGCTCTAAAATCCCGAGTTTAATAACGATTGGCGCAAAATAACCTCGACGTTTCCGCATAAAACTGACGATTCCGGCAACCAGTTGTTCATCCAAGTTACCAGAGGCATCACTTCTGAACAAACGGATAGGTCAATGTTCTCATCCGTTGTTTGGAAAAGACTTTTTAAAAATAGGCAAAGTAAATAATTGAGTGTCAGCTTACTGATTAATGGAGTTCCGAAATCTCTTTTGTTGCCGCGCCGAGCCACGCTGTCGCTAGGTAACAGTAGAAGCCGATCTAATTAAAACGTTGCTTAGAGGAAGTGTGAAACTTGATAAAGCTGGAATTTTCAGTCATGTAGACTGGTTGCCCACAGCAATACTACGCCAGAAAGAGATTTAGCACAGATAACTTTCCACGATCATTTCTTCTTGCGAGATAAAATCGACCATGAAATTATGAGTGATCGAAGTGTAACGACGGATGCATCTTCAAATAATTGTAAGACATTATGTTGCGAAGTAGGCTTTCAGAGGTGAAAGGAAAGCGAGAATGTAAATTGACAGCTTTGAGTTGAAATTACTGAATTTGTTTTCGGAAGAGGAGAATTGAATGGGAGATTATTTTAATAAAAGCGTTTGGTGAATGTAAATTGATTCAAACTTGGAGCAGAGCTGTCAAAAACGAATGACTGATTTCACGAGAGCATAATAATCGAACGAAATCGAGAGAAAACCAGACCTCAAATCGCTTTTTCAATTCAAGCGTTTTGTCAAAGATTTTAACATCCGCTGTAGGTGAAATTATTAGCTTCTCGAATCAAGCTTAAACAATGCTCTCTCTGGGAGAGAATTTTTGTTATTAAAAACTTTAAATGAGTTTATTTACAATCGCGCGACAGGTGGAGTCAGAAGTTGGCGAAGCGATTAGATGAAACCGCACCAGCGAAGCGGGCGAACTTAGACATAAGCACACTGGTAACCCCCTTTATCATCAACCCGAAACTAGGAGCAACAGATGGCATGATGAAACAAAAGAATACGAAGTGGAGAAAAAGGCGAAAAAAAAGAAAAGAAACGCCGTGCAGGTTACTAAGTAACAACAAGAAACTAAGCGAATGTTTAGATTTTGATCGCATCGAAAATTAAGAAAAAACTGGCCATTTAATACCACCTTAATTTTTTTAGTTTTGTTGTTGTTAAGTCATGAAAAAAAGCATTAAAATTTTGGCAGATTTCTTATAAACACAAGAAAGTTTCAAGCGGGTGGTAGTGTATTAGTCTGTCTTAACAAAATGACAGAGGCAGTTTTTCAATACGGCCTCTCTGGAAGGATTAACATTTTGCCAAATTGCATTTTCATGCTTAGCAACTCAGCAGAACTTGACTCAGCGTAACTAAATATTCCTCTCAAGAGGAGCATAAGTTTACTCTCTTAGTTTCCTTCCATCAAATATCACGACAGAACTTTCCCTTTGCCTCTATGAATGAGTGAAATCGAATTTCATTGCCGAACTCGCACCGGCTAAATTAGGCGCAAGTCCCTTTCACGCATGTGTGAAATCTCGCACATTTTCATTGAAAAGTCTGCAACAGCAGCTGTGTTACAGACTAAACAAAAAGGGATGCGTTTTGAGAGCACGCGGCGTATTGTTCACAAACAACTGCAAGAATTTGATCTCAAATTAAACTGTGCAACGACAGTTAACCGTTCGCGTAACTAACGATTCAGTGGTGAAGCGTGTCGCTTGTTTCCCAGAATTGAGTTCTTGTTATTTGGATTCGAGCACGTGATGCGTGATGCGTGCGGTTGCTATGTGGTCTCGGCTTGCGCAAGGCTTTTGAATTCAATGGGGTTTTCAGCGGCTTTTTTGTATAAAAAAAAATTAAACAGCCACATGCTTAATGGGTATTACTATCGAAGAGGTTCTCACGGAGACTAAACAAACTACTAGGTTTGCGTGTGGTTAGTGGCTCATTGAACAGAAGATGGTGGACTTTGTAGTCTCCCGCAGAGAGATGTGTAATCTAACCTTGGGATTTACTGTTAAACAGAATATTAAAATCGTTTGAGACTCCAAACAAGGGCCAAATATCAAATAATTGTTTCGGATTGGATACCTGACTGATGAAGATTATACTGTCTAAGCTTTTCTATCCGTAAAATATCAAGATATAGACCATTCTGTCTAAACGGTAAACTCCTATGGCCCAGGTTGTTCAAAGCTGGGTTAAGATCACCCAGGGTTAGTGTGGAATTTTATTTCAGGTGTGAAAGCTTTAAAAGAAAATTCAGTTCAAATCTTTTTGCTTACAATTTGATCATTGGACGTTCTAAAAAAAATAGGGAAACGCTTCCCTAAAAAGAATTTAGAACAAAGAAACCTGGATTAAAAATTTAACTCTGGGTTAGCGCAAATCGGCCTTCGAACAACTGGAGAGAAATGCGCAAAGTGACAAAAACATCTCTTATAACTGTTCTAACCTTTTTATTCCTAAGATCTCATTAGTAATTCCCCTTACTCTCTTTCATACAATTCTGATGATGTTTGTTTGGAGAATTTGGTATTGGATTTGCTATTTTCCTTTATTACCACCACTTGTCAGTATAGTATCGTTTTGATATTGTGAGCAGAAAGTCTGTCTTGGTCACTCATTGGAATTAAAGGGTACCACTAACGTCGAGATAAAACTCCTTTCCTTATCAAAATTTACGCGAATTTGAATTCACAATGTTTTCCGATTCTTACCGATCAATCAACATCACCACCAGCCCAAGTGGTCAACTCTACTAACAAATCAAATTCAGTCCTCCCCCCACGTGATTTGTTACGTTTGTACCATGCTCAATGTAAGGAAACCAACTGAAAAAAAAGACAAAACAAAAAAAACCCGTCTGTTTGCTTAAAATTGACCTCTAACCGAGGGAAAAATAAACCTTAAGACAACAACAGCAGACCGCAAAAAGGATGTGAAAATAAAAAATATAACAATCCTCGATTCAACGTTAATATCATATTTGAAATTGCAGATTGGTTGTCGTATTTTTAATTCAATGCTGTATATAACACAACGTCAAATACTCCTAAAAAATACATGCTTGAAAGTGTTCTAGTCCGCAGTCTCCAATTTGCCTATTTTGATACTCTTGTTTACAATTTTCGTTGTGAATTTTCGAGAAAAACCTTAGTGTAAATAATGATATAATAACCGTCAACACCAAATGAAATCATAGTTTAGCCTAAATCTTTTGTGAGTCATTCTGAAGGTTTCATCAAGAGCTTTAAAACCAATGGCGAAAGATAAGCTCTCGATGACAAACTGATAAATTTGATAAAGGGGGTAAGATTCTAAAGAAACTCACGGTGGTGTTGCGATGGTCGGGGAGTATAACAGGGTAATTTTGGTTTTATCGCCTAAATTGAAAATGTGAAATTGGTCACCGTAAAGAGTTTCAAAGCTGACGTTTCAAGCGTTAGCCCTTCGTCATTCGTTCTAACGAAGGGCTAACGCTCGAAATGTCACTCATTGGCCAACCTTGTAAGTGTTGTGGCGTATTTTTTAAAGTGCCACTAACCCCCATTTTTCTTTATTCGATATGTGGATAGCTGTTATTGGACTCATAAGCTGTCTATGCAGCTGTTAGACTCCTTCCTCCCTCATTCGTTTGGAAAAATTGCCTATCCAGAATTTTACCAATTTTGCTTTAAGTACCGTTAATTTCTCGAGTCTGATTGGTTTACAACACTGGTTATTCCATAAATGACGGGCGCATGCGTATAATGGTACCCCAACACTACCAGACTTTCGTAGTATAACAGCTGCCGTTAGTAATAAGCATGCCAATTGATTTCCCATCCTTAAATCATCCTTAGTTCGCACCAAATTATTTTCTTTTTCAAAAGAAAAAAAAAAAAGCACGTAATTAGCCTTTTTTCCCGTTGAGTGTTTTTAAATAAGAGAAAGTTCCTCATGAGTGGGATGTATTTGCATAAAATTCTACTTCCACTTTTAGCTCATTAGCAAAACCACGTAGAACGAATCAGAACCTGCTTATACCAAAAAAAAAGGAACTACGAAATGCAGACATCGCAAACCAAAAAAAAAAAATCGGAGTTATAATCGAAAAATAAAGGAATAAAACTGCCTAACTACTTAGACTCCCTTCCAAAATCAAGTATTCAAAACGCTATGCCTGGCATAATATTTTTCAGCCATAAGTTATTATCCGATAACATAATGCATCAATTTCAAAGCGAGTCTATCTAAAAAATTCAAATGTAGTTAATCATATATTTCACCATATACCCCGACTATGTCCTTTAAAGGAAATGTTTGGCCACCTTTCCAGAAAAATATTGTGCCCACACAAAGCATCAATTCCAAGGAGGATCTATCTAAAAATTCAATTTACATTATGCTTTCAATATGACCTTTAAAGGGAATATCAGACTGTCTTTCCAGAAAAATATTGCGTGCATTTCAAGGTACATAATTTCTTTCTAGTAACAGCCTCGAGGCATTTTTTAATAATAAACAGTTTTCTGAAAGAGTCGGTTGTGGTATTCCTGTGTGAAAAGGGGAATTTTCTGACCAGAAGATCGAAGTGAATTATATTCTCAGACCACTTTGACAAGTGACCCTCGACAACAACGCCGTGGGGCTATCGTCCTCTCTCGAAGTAACAGAAAAAACGTGAACGACTCGAAGCTTGGGAAAATGCGCGATCTTGTGCGGTCTGTGCAAGAAGTTGCGTGCATTACCTTGGAGACCGTTACAAGATGATAACAACTCTTGCACAACCACAAAATTATCAAAACCAAATGGAAACATTTCAACACCCACTTGAAATTATCACCCACTTCTCAGATGGGAGAAGTATATACTATGTATAATATAACACTAACGCGAGAAAGGCACTTAAGGGGCCTTAAGTGATTCTAAACAAACTAACTTGTGGGAACTAGCTTCATCTCAAGTATTGACTTTGCAAAGAGCTGCTAATTGGATTTTTCTTTTGCCAATCGCTGCACGGAAAGCGAATCGCATGAAATATTGTACACACACACACAAAAAAAAATTCAGTCATAGCCCTTTTATCAATTTGGATAAACGATCGCTTTAAGGCATTTGGAAAGTTCTTTTAAGTTATTTTTTCGTGGCCGAGTGCTTTAAGAAAAAGCACAGATGGTACGCGAGAGTTGAACACGATAAGTAAAGTGAATTAAAAGAAAAACATATTAATGCTAAGTATTTTGATTGATTGAACATTTCGTAACCACGAAAAGAGAAGCACTAATATCCATCTCGCACTAATATTCGTCCCTTCCACGCTCTGTTACACTTCATTTCAAACGTCTGAGTTGCTATATAGGTCTGCAATCATTAAAACTTCAACATTCGTAGTTATTAGCGACAAGACAATATTGATCAATCACGAAAACACACGCTAAAAGATCATTTTCCAACTGGTCTAAAGAAGATCACTGACAAGTCTGCGCAGACTCGCCCCAATTCTTACACGGCTGTTTCTCCGTGACCAATTGACACGCGTTTTCACTCAAAAACCAACAATAGATCACCCTGAACGCAAGTTATTTCACAGGCTCATTAAGAACGATTACTCAAAAAATGGATCAAATCCAAATAGTTAAAAGGCCAAAAAAAGAACAGGAAGAGTCATTTTACAATTACAATGAATGCCACAACTTTAAAAATGAATAAAATTCAAAGAATTCAGTTTTACACTGAAAATATATATGATTAGAAAAAAAGACAAGGCAAAGTGGAGAGAGTGTAATTCCGTCAACTTCAGTTACAAGTACAGACACATACCCACACACTTGTTTACTTGATTTGTTTTTTCAACATTTGTGTAAGTATCAACTCTAAGAATAGATTCAAGAGATATTTTCGTCTGAAGCACTGTCTCAATGACAAATGATAGTTCTATTTTGAAGACACCAATCTATTTATGGTAAATGAGTGAACACTTCAAAAAGAGAGTGTTTCACATTTTGACAAACCTTAGAAGAAGTTAATCAACTGTTTGTAAACTTGGAAAATTTTGCCTAAATTTTTAAAAACAATCTTTTGTAATGTGAGTGATCCTTCTCCATCCTACGACATCTTTGATACTTTTTGATGCATCCTTGCCTGTGTCATTATTTATCTCCTCCCAGAAAATATTATTTCAAATTTTTATTCTGTGTCTCTAATGTTTTCTCAGTACAATACAGGTGACTCAAAATGTCATCATGACAAAGCAACTTTATTGCAAACTAAAGAGAAAAGAGCCTAAGGGGAACGTTATGGAAGAGTACCCAGCTTACATCACTGAATCTCGCAGTAATTTCTTTTCACTGATAATACCACATACTGAGGTTATCTCAGCCATACCTTTCCATGCTCTGTTGCATACCAAATTTTAGGACTAAAGAATGTTAAAATAAATTATCACTAGCCCTTCAAGAGGTGACAGACGTCATCCTATAGCTGTCTCACATCAAGAACTTTCAACCACAAGAGTTAATGAGCAGAATTTTGATCCAATTGCTTTGATAACAATTTTTTGGCCTGAAAACTGGATAAACTGATAAAATTGGACTTGAACCTCAACAAAGGGAATTTCAACATATGTAAAAATATCCCATATTCACAGACTCATATCAGCTCACTCACAAGAGAGTTTGAAAAATGAAACAAGCAATTTTTCAGAACATAGTCCGACCATGTTTATCCCTTGAGTGTCCTTGGAATTGAAAAAGGTTTTTTGATCGTTCATTTACTTTTATATACCCTATATATATGTGGTGGTTCCAAAAGACACAGTTCGGTCAATTTTTCTTTTTTTTTACAGTTAAGAGAACTACTGAGCTACATCATCTTCCAAAGGCTAATCAGGTTAACTTTGTTCCACATAAAGTTTCTAAGCTTGAGCGGATGATCTAACTGTGATCAGGGATTTTTCTTGTATGGTAGTGTTCAGATGAAAAAGCAATTCTTTCTAAGATCTTTGTTTGATCAATCCTGACAGCCACTGTATTTGTCACTTACGTCAAGAGTAGGAGTGAAGTAATTCTTTAGAAGATTTCAGCTAAATACATGCTTTCACCCTTTCCCTGAATTATGTTGGCCACAGCTTTGATAGTTAATCAGTTGACACATTGGCAACCCATATACTGGTACAAAAACAAATAAAGAAACACACTTCCTCCTCTTCCCCCCCCCACTCCTCCCATATCTCTTCCCCACCCCTTTCCCCATGAGGCAGTATGGTTGGGAGATATGCAGCAGGAGGATGTAATTCAAACCCATGCCTACTTATCAAGCTCAGGCTTCCTTAAAACATTCAGGTTGTAATAATTATGTCCTTCTTCTGCAGTATTCTTCAAGTCCTTTACTAAGGTAGCCAGGTTTTTTTAAAAAAAGGTACGGAAACAATGAGCACCTCGATCATAACAGCTCCAGTTGCTTTAGACCCGTGTTTACATGCAAAATTGACCGCTTACCTTAGCATATCTCTTGATCCTTGATCCAAAATGGCTCGTGAGGAGAGCTTGCAAGCAGAACCCGCTGCACTAATAAACTGCACTTAAGAAGAATTTTATAACATTTATCATTTGCAACGCAGTAGTGACTGCCATGTTTTGAACTTGAGGTCACATAAAGCCTCGTTTTGGTTGAGCGATATGATTGGCTCTCCGGAGGGTAACAAATAGGTCGCGTCAAATTCGAATCACACAAGGAAGAAGATAACATGGCTGCTGGATTTGTTTACTGGATAGCCGAAGACAAATTGCAGCGATTATCTGAAGCTTTTCAGCTATTTAAAAATCACAACGGCTGGAAAGGTGAGATAGCTTGTGTTTTCATTCTAGGAAATGTTCTAGGAGAAAGTGACTGCGATGGAATTTCATACATCAACTTCACGTTTTGAATAGATTACGTGTAACGTTTGCCTGATCTGTTTTAATACTAAAATTTATTGGAATTAATCGAAAAAATCACTCCAAATCTCTTAAGATATAAGCCACGATAGAAGATCGAAGGTGATTCAATCGACTTTTACCGTGAGATGTAACCTAGTATATACATTCATAGTGCCATTTACTTTTGACAAGTTTATTGTACAAGCGATAGTCTGATACGATTTTTTAACTTTTCAGATGACATCCAAGCCTCCACTTATCTTACCTTTGGATGTCAAAGCTACAACTTCACAAAGAACCATTTCTTCAAACAAGTAAAATGGCAAAGTTCAACAGAATTTATCATAAACCTCTACAGGGAACATAGCACAAAAAAGCCATTCTGTGATTCCATCTTTAATCTAAAAGAACAGCTGGTAGCTCTTCAGCTGGTTATGGCACAACTCAACAAAGAGGTACAAAAAGTATTCCTCTGTCCTAAGGAGGGCCAGAAGGATCAATAATTTATAATAGAACGACTGAGCATTTGACCCCAAATCCCAGTGGGTAAATTGGCAGTCATCCCACAAGTAGCCCATTGAAGTTCCAGCTGTGACATGATCACTTGCGAGATAAGAAGCATGGTGAATTGCAAGAGTTTGTATGGAAATATTTATGACTGCTCTTAAGAATATAAATACAATCAAATTCTGAATAAAAAATACCTCACCTTACTTCCATGGTGAATTGCTTGCTATCTGACTGCTTACTATGTTGAAAAGAACCCATTCTAGTGAGTTATCCAGTTCTGGGTTTACTGCATTCATAAGACTTTTCTTATGTACATAGTAAACCTAGAAATGGATAAACTGCTAAAATGAGTTCTTTTCAACATAGTAAGTGGTCAGATAGCAAGCAATGCACTGTGGAAGTGATTTCATACATAACAACAACTCAGTTGGTGAAACCAAATTATTTGATACATAAGAGCCTGCCACTGTAATTTCAAATTCTCCTACCCAAAATGTAAAAACATAGCCTCTCAAACCAAAGACACATAAGAGCTGTTGCATGCCAATATAACATCTAATATAAGAAATTCTTCACAGGAGGTACCAACTGAAGTTTTATAACCATCCAGCCAGTATTAAAAGATTATCAACAGAAATATTGATAATGGCATTATTTTTAAAGGAAACTGGAGAGTTTGCAGTGAAAATGCATGATGTGCTTGAAGCCCACAAAGAAATTATGAAGTACAAGTTGTCGATGGATGAGGAAGAAAATTCAATTTCTAAGTTATGCACAGCCTATAACAAGTTTCTGTTGCACTGCAATTCTGTGGACTTTGCTGATGTCTTTCAGAGAGTCAAAACATGTTTTATCATGGACAGTAATGTCAAAGACATGCTTCAAATTTCACAACAGTTTGTTGTCACTGGGAAGCCAAAGACACAACTAGAGGTGAGAAATTAGAGAGTTGTTTTAAATGCTATCTTACTTGAAATAATCCCTGACCCTTTGGCCCTCATGTGTGGCTGCTCCCTACAATATTACCCCTGAATCACAAATTAAGGTCTCAAGAATAAAAGAAATGATCACCAACTGAAAAGGCTCTTGATGTTTCATCAAATTCTCCTTATCAGCACCTTAGGAAATCTATAGAGAACAATGTGGAGAGTAAAAAAAATTTTTTTTTTTTTTGTATTTTATTAATTTTTATTAATTCAAAGTTACATACATTTTTCATAAACAAACATAATTCACTTAAACAGACAGACACGGTACATCATATATCTACATACACAATCCACAGTTCCTCTTAGCTCTCCTCAGCTTCTAAATATAATACTAGTACAGTGCAGCAACAAACATGAGATTCTATATCATCTAATAATTTTTGTACTTGTCCCATTTCATAGTTTTAGCTTATTATTTGATTTTGCGATCATACATACATACTTACATTATATGTTAGAGGGCAAAGGGCTAATGGTGGTGACTTTTGTTAGTCTAGACACTGACTTAAGTTGGCCTTCGGTCAAGTAATTTAGCTTCATGAAAGTAACTGTAACAGTTAAAGAATGAACCAGTAATCAGGCTGGTTATTTCATGAATGTGTTGATTCTATCATTAAATGAAACTGATTTCTCCCAGCAACAAATTCTTCAGCTGATGGTTGGAAACAGAACCTTGATCTGCTTCACAGAGACAGAAGGTAGGTCACCACCTAAGTAAACTGAGTTTCAATGGATTATGAACCTCAAAGCATATTCAAATATTAACTATTGTCTAAACTTGCAACTTCCTTAAAATGCCCCATTTCACCTTTTTCTAATTATTTTTGTGCACACAGATGGTCAACACTCACTATCTGAGAAAACAGCTGATATGCTCCTGCATAGAGAAGTACCAGCAGATGTGCTTGGTGACCAATTACTAAACATATCTCCACAGCGAAGGACCCCCAGTCCTGCTCTATCTCATTCAGTTTCACAAGAATCATTGGCTCAGGTAATTTTAAACATCAAACTGGCTTTGTGAGTCAGAGAAACCCCTTCAGCTTGCTGAAAATCCATCTGTATAAATTATGAACTAACTAAATATAACTTAACCTTGAGCATTTAAAATGTGGAGAATTCATTGAAAATTGTAATCATGAAAAAAAAAAATCTCCATTACCAGTAATTGGAATGCCATGGTGTCAATTTTACCTATTACAGTGAAAAATGATGTTAATTACATTGTATACTGTCCACCAATGCAGAAAGTTTTCACAGATAAAACTAGGTACAGTTCATCTGAGTTTTTTTTACCATGATTCAAACAGAGTTGGGTTTTGGAAGATCAGAAGAAACTGGTTTGATCGGGAAAAACTTAAGCCACCTAAGTAATCTTTTGACTAATAATTTACAAAAAACATGAATAAAAGGAACATATTCATTGTACTGTACATTTAGTCCCAAACCACCTTCAGCTCTGGTTCAGTTTGGTTGAATGCTAGATTGTTTCGTCCTGAGCTAAATAGCCATCCTCTGGGTACTGATTTCTCTGATGGAGAGCCTTTTCCCCTCTTTACACTACCAGTGCAAGAGTGTGAAGTGAAAGATGTTCTAACTTTACAAGTGATTTAGTGATGATATTATAAAGTTTAATATTCCATACATGTTATCTCAACAACAGGATCAATTTCTGAAGGTTTGCCTGAGTTACCTCAGGCTCCTGGTGAATTCCAGGGATGAACTGGCTCTTTCTCAGGCTATCAATATACCTCACAGGGACTTGGCTCATAAACAGTTTACAGTATTGAGGAAGGTTGCTAGGGAAAAAAACATGCCCATGTTTCAGGTACCACTCAATTTGTTTATTAGAGTAAATATTGTGAAAATTACACAATTATGTTACAATCAGTGAATGAAAGTTATCTTTAAAAAATATTGATATTAAGACCACACATACATGAAGATATCATTAATATCTGGCAAAAAGTTGTCAATGAGTGGAATCAAATATCATTGGACTAAGAATGTTGAAATTGTAAAAGTCAAAACTCTCAACCTAGTTTAGAAAATTCTTCCTTGATGTTAGAGACAAAATCAGGCATGTTGAAAGAGTCTAGGAGTCAAAGCATGGGAGGTGGCATCTCAGTTCTTTTTCAAGTATTTACATCATGATGTTGACATTCTTGCCTGTATATCATTGTAATCAGCATCAGCTTATGTCATGGTTGAGGACAGGTTACAGAACCAAAGCTGTAATCTTTCAATCCATTTACTGCGGGAGTCCTTGGATATTGCCTTGCTTTCATTGGACTGGCTGGCTGTGGGATGGATTGAGTTGTAGTCTAAAATGTATATATAGACTTACCCAGTAATAATAATTTTAAAAAAGTCTTCCACATCATTATCCCCAGCAGTTAAAGGCTAACATCATTCAGTTTTGAACACTGTTTTTCTTTCCTTCCCTTCCCAACAGACGGCTGTCTCCTTTATTCTGAGGATACGATTAGGTGGGAAGAGTTATGCACCAAGCAATGACAACCCACTTCTTCCATTAACTAAGGTGTATATCAAATATTACCTTTAATAGAATTATATCAAATAGATATTTCTGATATATTTTAACTGTTAGAAGGCTTCAGGATATTTTACCACAAGAGGGAATCTTTACCCATCCAGCCGGAGCTTATCCCAGTTTCTATGTAGCATGAAGCAACTAGGAGTATTATTAGGCATGGCCCCCCCTGGATGGGATGCTAGTTCCTTCTTCCCCTCCATTTCTTCCCTGACAATTTACCCCCTCCCATTTCTCCCCCCCCTCAAGGTTACCACCCCATTTCATCAGGCTTCCCCCCTACCCCTCTGGATGGGATGCTAGTTCCATTGCAAGGTTACCACCCCGCATTTTGTCAGGCTTCCCTGACAATTTACCAGTACCCATTTTATACTCCTGGGTGGAGAGAATCATTAAAGGCATGGCAAGAGTATTTAAAAGTGCCTTGCCCAAGAACACAACACATTGACTAGGCCAGGTCTCAAACCCAGACCTCTCCACCAGGGGTTGGTGAAGGCACTGATCACAAAATCTGTAGAGAGTGGTGTCCTATCCCCATGTGGGACTCAGATTTTTCTGTCCCATACTCATGCCTTATGTTTCAAAAATTCTTTTTACAGGGTCTTGGAGAGTTTGTCACTTTTTTCCAAAAGCTACAAAATGTCTGTGAAGAAATAGCTGATGCAAAGTATGAAAGCTTTATGATGGGTATTACTTTTTGAACACTGCTTAGTAATTTAACATCCTTTCTGCAAAAGGAAGGTTTTGAAACTAAGTTCACCTTTTCTTTTTCCACCAAGCAACTAATGGTAAAATAACAAAACTATTTCATGTAGATTAAGTTTGTTTAACAAGTTAATCATGGCTAAAACTATATTATTTTGTTGAACACTCTTCAATGAGTGGGTTGGTAAGATTGTCTGAAGTGATTGTTGTCACAAACCAGGCATCAAAATCAAAACCAAAACCAAAATCATTTTTGGGGCCAATTGTGTTGAATTGTGTGCTTACCTTTCAGAAATGCTGTCTTAAGAATTATCAACATGCTCAAAGTAAGCATTATGAAATCCAAAGAAAAGGTTTTTACAAATGAATGCATCACCAAAACTGTGGAATCTCTGAAAGAAAAGGTGGAAGAACTAAGCTGCAAAACAGGTGACGGTGATGAAACAAAGTCATCCATGGCAGGAATGAATGTGTATTTCCTGATTCAGGCTGTTTTAGATGAGCATGTCAAGCAAAGTTGTCTCCAGGAATATGAAACAATGGACTTGAGGTGTGCCCTTATGACACCAGAATTACCTCATGGAAAATCTAAAATACGATCTACACTGAGTCAGTTCAGGTAAGGCGGAATAGTTTTGAAGAACTCTTTGACCTTTAAGACTTGTGGCATGGCATTCTCTGGCCAAGCTTATAGATTAGCTGGGGCTGGTATAGTCACTCTCTTGTTTCCTTGAATAAATATTTCTAGCACTGACAAATTCACCCTCCACTTAAGAAAATAAATCAGTAAGTAGAAAATTTGTGAGTCAAGATAACCCTGGGAAACTTGTATGTAGCTCCAGCATTGCCTGTGAAATAAAGTTCTAGGTAACTTGTTATCATCTTAGGAGAAAATTCAAGACATATTTTTAATTTTTTTTCTGGCTAGAACACCTGATTCTGAGTCTTCAGAAGCAGCTGTTACACCACCAAAGGACCAGCCGCCAAAACACAAACCTGAAAAGGTAAGATCTTGGTAAAACAGCAACTTTATTCATCTGAAGATGAAATCTAAGACATGGTAACCTCTCTCTTTGTTTGTCTTTTGTCCATTTTTATTTTCATTTTGTTCAAAGAAGCTTAGTATCTTAATGCAATGGTAAATCATATATTGGGTTTCCTTGAGGACCATCTTAGAATAGCTGATTAATTTTTTAATTGTTTTTCACAGAAACCATTTGAAAGTTATAGGAAAGTGTGTGGTGATATGAGCTGGGCCAAACCTGCTAACAGCATTCAGATAGGACCAAGTCCTGCCAACAAAAGAGACCAAATGATGACTGCTGCCATAAACACTGATATTTTAACATCTCATCAGGAAAGTGGCAATGAATCTTACATTAAGGATACACCAAAATGTCACACCAAGAAAAGAACCTTAACAGAATCTATATATGATAAGGAGAACATTCCAATTGGTAACAAAACCATAAATGATGTTAAAAAACCACCAGCCAAACGTATGCTCCTTGAGACAGACATCACTGCAAAAAAGAGCTCAAAGGGCAAAACTAAAACAAAAACATTGCCCAAAAGAAAAAAGATTCCATTACTTCAAGGACAAAAACAGCTTACCAATTTTTTTAGGTGATATGTTGTATCAAAACAAACATCACAAAATTTTATTCATTTTCATACATTATTTTATTTTAGAGACCCAAGATAAGATTATTATGCCATGAGTACCATTATTAAATGTTATAATTTGTTCTACACAAACTAAACACTTACAAGATATAATTGCTTTGACTATGTCACTAAGGAACCATCATCATCCCAAACAAATTATTAGCAACTTTGCAAAATTTCATTTACTGGTAAGTGTAGGTTACTTTAACAACCAGTCAGAGTAAGACATCATCACAAAAATTACTTCTTACACAATTATTTTTACAAGTCTTGCCAAAGCCTTGCAGAACAAAACTGTTCTCTATAGCGACAAAATTATGTTGAAGTACAAAATTAAAAAGTAATGTCAACTTGTTATTTTAAGGATTAATGACAGTTATTGGGTTTTTAAGGAAATAGGTAGCCTTAAGTATTAATTTTACTTCTTGAAAAAAGATTCCTTGCAGGTGCAAACTTTTTTGAGTACAATATTAAATTATTACTTCTTATTGCAGACCATAAAATGTAACCATTCATTGTGGCTAGCACATGGCTTTACATGACAATATGACTTTGGCACATAAAAAAAGGTACATGACTCTAAGTTTAAAACGCAAGTGCACTCTTTCTAAAAGGCATCTTCATGAAAGCCATCTCTTTCATTACTTTAAGAATCTCATGACCAAAATTTATCATCTTTGCTGACCCATACGATTGTCCTCTCTGTCCTATATAATCATGTTGCTCCTTGATTCCCTATGTTGCAAACTTCTTAGCATTCAGATATGATCAAATAAACACATTCTCCATCTTATGTAAAAATTTCAGTAGCAGAGTTCAATACATAGGATCCTCTACACAGGGCGTGAAATTAACTTTTTTTTCTGATAGCCACTTGGCTCCTAAATTCTTCAAAGTGGTAGCCAATTCAAAAAAAGTTGGTCGCCATTTTCAAAGACAAACAAAATCTTTCTTTACACTGTCAGCGTTCTAGATAGACCCTCCAAAATTAAGTTAGGGAAAAGATCTTTAACGTGCTACAAAGTGGACACTAGGATGGATGATATACAACGTTCAGGCTCATTTAAATCCAAGATGGCGTCTAGTTATCGATCGAGATGCATGTGCTACGTTTTGGAAACAAACTTAACGAGGAAGTTTGCCGCGGATTTATCTTTGCAAATCTTTTTAATTCACTATATCTCTTGGTAAGGTTATGATGAAACGTTCTAGTCGCCAATTTGGCGACTAACTTTCAGGATTTGGTCGCCAAAGTGAAAAATTTAGTCGCATTGGCGCCTGTATTAGGCGCAATTTCACGCCCTGCTACATAAAAACACTCCACAAGAATAGAAAAATTGACAAGAAATAATAAGTGCAGAGAATACCTTGTTTTGGGAAACCTTCACTGGAGAAAAAACTTTGGTTTCAGGTGAAGAAATGTTCCTACAATCTATGAATCAGATACCATTATTGAAGGGACTCCTTCTCTGAGGATGCTTTTCCTAGTCTTGAGTGTGTCCTTTGCAAGAACGTTCCACAGCATCCATAACAGTGAGGATTCAAAAAGTTATGTCTGGTTGGGCTTTTAGACTGAGGTTCTTTATCAGAGCTCCCATACCAAAACTTGTGATTGGTTGTTCAGCCTGTCTCATTTGGTACTCAATTCCCAATGTGAACAGGTTTCTTCCCTTTCTCTTTCCTCTTTCTACATGTATCAGTGCCTTGAGTTTTAAAAGATTGCAAGGTATGAATAATAAGGCAATGTCAAGAGCCTCTCTTGCATCCATCAGAGCTGCCATCATACAAGCTCCAAAACTCTTCCACAAAATCAAATCATTGATTGTTTTCTTAGATCTTGCTACATTTCTGTTCACATCAATGGTTCATCTCTTTCTTCGTTTTGACGCTGAGTTCTTTGTCCCTGATGATGTTGCAACTTCCTCTGAAGTTTCCTTCTTTCTCTTACTTTGTCCACTTGAGCTGCTTGTATCTTGTGATGTATCCAGAATTTCATCTGCAAATAATTTATACCTGGGCAAAAGTTAAGGATGCAATAATATTGATAAATTTATTGATAGAATAGCAAAAAGCAAGCTTCTAAAAGAATTGAAGCCTTGTACCTTCTCCATATCATTCCATCATTGTGAAAAATGAGAAATAAATTGAAGAATCTATCAAACTTAAGAAAGACACAATGTTACTGCTATTCAGCCAAGCTGGGCAAGAGTTCCTAGGAGAAAAATTAACCCACATTTTTACTCTCACTGACTGAGAGTTTCCTTGAAACCTCCATCTCCCTCACTAAAAATCATTTTATCCAATAAGCACCCTCCCCTCTTCCCCTGTCTCAATTGGGAAGCTAGGAAAATTTAAAGTCTTGCTGAGGTTTGATAAACAAACTAATTAAAAGTAACTGACTTTTCTGGACCAATCACTAAGACTAGCAAGGCAAATTCAAACCAATCCTAAACCACTTTTGACACTCACTTTACAAAGAAAAGGATACTCTTCGAGACTGAGCTCTTGGCGCAAGACTCCTGTGAGAAGAACTTCGGCACTCACCACAGGAATGCCAGCTTCCATTGGCTTTCTACAGACACTTCTGTCATCTTCACAAGAGATTACAAAAACTCTGTCTTCTTTACTTCTTGGCATACTGGTCAAGAACTTAACCAAAACAAAAACTCACTAAACTGAAATGGTACATCTTTGCAACATATTTCAAACAAACATCACCTCTCCAACTTGACCACTCAAAGGAGAATATTGAGAGATATTGCCATTAAGAACACAACGAAATTTAAGTGTGATACATACCTCTCCTTTGGCACTTTTAATTATGTCTGAAAAATAAAAATTAATTCCTTACTGTACATTTTCATGCACTAACTTTTACCCAACAAAACTTTCTGATGAGTGAAAAATGGCCATGGAATTCATATTTTTTATGCATTGGCCATTTAAAGTAAAGCTTCTTGTCCTGGCTATTATTTAATATAAATTAAGGGTGATCCAATCCCTGAGAGCGACTATCGTCTAATTTCTCCTTACAATATCACCCTTATCACACATAAAGGTTATGAGAATAAAAGAAATGATCACCAACTAAAGATGCTCTTGATTGTTAGACAAATTCTCCTTGTTAGAACCTTTAAAATGTAGTGAGATTGGTTTAGAGAATATGCATATGGACCCTAGGGTGTAAAGGGTTAAAGTAATGCAAAGATTAAGAGAAAAACAAATTGACAAGAATCTGCAGGCAGATTATTAAATGGATATCACTGTCAATTGCTTGTTAACCTCACTGAAAATGAAATTATTTCAGAGTTATAACTGCCATCAGAAACAAAATCAGTTCACCCACAGTGTTCTCCCTTATTTTAAGCACAATGGGTAAAAGAAATTTTCAAACTGTTAGAGCAATCCTTTTACCTGTTGAAATTTCAAGAATTCCAAACCATTTTAGGCAGTAATCAGGGATACTGCATGCAGTAAATTTTACTGGTAACCACCTGAAAAGGAGAAGACTGACCCATACAACTTTGATAGCCACTTAAAAACACATAAAGTATTCAATAACTCCTTCAAATTGTGATTGCAGTTTGTACCTTTCATCTGAGATGGTTCTGGTTTGACTTTCTTTGTTACATGGACCTTGCAACCCTCTAAGAGACCCTTAGTGAGTGCAACTTCATGAGATCTGAAAGAAAACATATTTTTTAACATTACCATCACCAAATTATTTTCCTCATAAATAAACACTTCTCAAATTAAGATGCTCACCTTTGAAGATCAAAATTGTATTGCTTCTCTGCATCTTCATCCTTAACTAAGAATGGGGATGTGTCTATAACATAGAACAGAAAAAAAAACAACTTAATATAGAAATAAGCTCAGTCTGCATCTGTCAGTTCTTTAGTGTAATAAAAAATACAAGTAAGTGCTATAAAGTCTTTATAATAGGGTAATATAGTATTATCAGCTGAGTTGATAATGTAAATTGGCCACTGTAAAGATTTTCAAAGCTGACCTTTCAAGCATTAGCCCTTCATCAGAGCGAAAGGCTTACAATGAAGGGCTGACACTCAAAAGATCAGCTTTGAAACTCTTTGCGGTGGCCAATTTACATTATTACCTCAGCTCAACTTGATAATTCCAAAGTACCCTGTTATACTCTCCCATCAATGCAGCACCACAGTTTCTTTAGAAACTTACCCCCTCTTTACTTGTATTTAATTTACTTTCTATGACTGTATTCTTACCTACAAAACCCTTAGCCTTTTTACAAGCTTCAAGCCATGAAGGAAGAACAATGACCTGTCCACCAGCAAGACCACATAAGAACTTGACTGTACGCCGTACCTATAAGTAACAGAAATACGGATGATGACACAAGAATTGATACCAAAAATTAACACTAGTCAACTACAAACCTTTTTGACAAAGAGACTGATCACTTCAAAATAACTCCAAGAACTTTAAAATAAATTGACTCCTTTTAAGTCTTAAAGTTTTGAAAGCTCATTATTTCAATTACGATTCCATCAACCTTGTTCAAGCAAATATCTACTATCAATTAAAATGATTTTAGGTCCTTAAACAATGTCATCTGGATTCGGAGCCAAGCATGGATTTTTTTCCATTTATCTTTTTTAAGCACTTTTAGCAATATTTGCTACAATCAAGTGGAAAAAAAATTAAATTGCCTTCAAAAGTGCTCTCTGAAACTTGAAAAAAAGCAAAAAATATGATGAAGTAGATATGCATGACAGTAAGCTGCTACTAATCATGGTAAATTGTTTCGATTCTGTTGTAATCTCATAACTTCTAAAGCACTTGCTTATTTTTAAGAGAAACCAAAGCCTGCTGGCAATCTACACATCCAGTGATTCCACTTTAATTTGTGCACATCAAAGTACAAATAGCACAAACCTTATCAGTGACCAGATGAGTACAGTTGTGAATATTATCCACCAGCTG